AGAGAAATATCAATAATATTAGGTTTAACACTTGCATTAGTAGAAAAGATGGCTGGGCACACGTGATGGGGGTTGGCCCTGAGGCAGAGGCAGATTATTGGCCCTCACCTGTATCACTTGTATCAACTGTATCACTATCCACCACAGAGGCTTGAGGGACTCTTGGCAAACCCTCAAAGTCCATATAAGTCCATATCCTCACTATAATTATTTACTATCAATGGACTGGGCCGCTGTGGGGTGGCGGTGAAGAACTCGTAATGTTTGATGACTGGCGACTTTAGTGCATCGTGCTCGCCGCTCCCAAGATATGATGAAAAATTCCAGCTATGAAAGTCAATTCCAGGCGCAATCACCGCATATGATAAAATCGTAATGAAACCCAAGAAGTAATATTGTATATATATATATATATATATATATATATATATATATATATATATATATATATATATATATATATATATATATATATATATATATATATATATATATATATATATATATATATATATATATATATATATATATATATATATATATATATATATATATATACACACCAAGACAAAGTACCAGTAACAACAAAATAAGAAAGCTGGATGCAACAAAAGAAGTACTGTATGTATTTACTTGTAGTAGGAATAATCATATTGTTTAGTACCTTGATGCCACTTAACCTGATCAGTTGAGATCAACGATAAATTTGCAAATGTATAATTGGAAGAAAAAAGAAGAAGCTAATTTTGGCCCATTAAACTTCATTGAATCTTAAATAATGCATGCCTGTTTAATACCGTACTAAAAATTATGAAATTCTCAAAATGCGAGACTGGTCCATGCATGATAATATGTTCTTTGTTAATAACATGATACAAGTAATATGTTATTATACAAAAGTATTGGTTCTAAGGTCAAATAATTTTTACTGTTTCTGTCTGATGTTTCAGCTGTCTTACGTCCTCGCAATATAAAACTTGACAAATGTGTAAGTTCTCACAGCATGATCAGATAATTAAACACTTTTTTCCAAGTTTACCTTTTTTGGATTTAAGTCTGCCTCCTTTTATTAAGAAGCCAAGGCTTGTCACCATTATAAAACAACATATCGAGTATTTTAGCATGATATCTTGTTTTATGCCTAAAGAGGTGAATGAGAGACTGTGAGATGTAATAATACCAAATGCTGCAGAGTCAGCCTGACATTGCCTGTAAGATGTGTAATTCTTGAAAGTAAGGGAAACTACCCTAATGAACAATATGTTGTTGAAAGCCAAACATAGTGCAGCCTCTCCCATATAGTTGAATCTGTACAAAGGGATCCATCTAAATGAATAAAGCATTGTAGTAGGCAAGAAGCATGGTTAGTGACAGCGGCATGGTAGGCAACTCAAGGGAATGGTAGGTGAATGCAGGGAAATGATAGGTGATAGAGGGAAAATGCTACATAAACAATAAACAGTGCAGCATTTATGTATACTACTGTAATTTGGTCACTTACACAAAATAAAGAATAAATTAAAAAAAAAATAATTGTATTCTCTACACATAATTCAAGTCTGAGTATGTAAATAAACATATAACTTGTATCACTAAGGATATTACAGTCCACCCTAGTAAAACCGTTTCCTTTATTACAGAGTAAAAGAATAAAAATTTAAATACAGTAGACTAGCAACTTACGCGAGGGTTATGTTCCTGGGACCTCGCGTTAAAGCCAAAAAATGCGTAAAGTCAGAAACACTTCTAAATCACTATATACAGTGGTCCCTCAGTTAACGAACACAATTCGTTCCACAGAGTCATTCGTTAACCGAAAATTTTGTTAACCGAATCCATTATTTCAATGGGATATTGGGTAATTGGTTCCAGCTCCAGCAATTTGCATTGCTGGAATCCTTGCAAAACAGCAAATAATTTGAATATAAAAGTCATATATTTTGCACCAGAGATAAAAATTAATCACCTGTATCACATTACAGTACAGGTTTGCACTTAGATCATTTATTTCTTTTACATTTCTTTTAGTATGGTGTGTGCATGTAAATGAATGAAAATAAATGAAGAAATTTATGTAAATCTACCCAAAAATACAGTTGAAAACTTTACATTACTAAAATGTACTAAAATATTTCTTACTTGTGCAAAATATAGGATGTTTATATTCAAATTATTCACTGTCTTGCAAGGATTCCAGCAATACAAATTATATTATCCTAACTCTAGTCTGTGATATTATATAATATAAAAACTTAAAGCCTACTGTATAACCACCAAATCCAGGCTGGGAGGGGGGAGGGGTGGTAAGGGCGGGAGGAAGGGAAGGTGACAGTGACATGTTTGACAGCTGGGGAGGAAGGTCTGGTGAGGTATTTATTTGTTTATTTATGTCCTTTAGATCGAGTTTTTGTTTTTTGTTTATGAAATGTCATAGAAGTGACCGGGGAGAATATAATTTACATTGCTGGAATTCTTATAATATAGTGATTAATTTGAATGTAAACATGCTATAGTTTGCACTAGACAAATTTTAGTAATCATTTTATACATTATTTTGATTACATGTACAGTACAGCTTTGCCCTTAGGAGAGTGTGTGCATGTAACTGAGTTTCAATAAATGAATAAAGTTACAAAATTGAGCCAAAAATATAAGTTGAAAAACTTTATGTAGACAGAGCTTGGATGGCTAAATTTTAGAATGACCAATAATTTTAATATAGAAAATGCAAAAATATTCAAGAACACAACTTTCTTGATATTTACTCCACTGGAAATGAATGTAAACATAGAACAGATTACTGTATTGGCAGACTAGCCAATCCATGCTCACAACAAAACGTGTTTGTGGTAAGGATTTCGTTAATCGATGTTTTGTTCGTTAACCGAAATTTCGTTAATCGAACCGTTCGTTAACAGAGGGACCACTGCATATATGTACATATACACTAGCACTCATAAATCACTACTGTAATGTGATACAGGTGATTAATTTTTATCTCTTGTGCAAATTATATGATGTCTATATTAAAATTATTTGCTGTCTTGCAAGGATTCCAGCAATGCAAATTATATTCTCCTAACTTTAGTCTGTGATATTATTTAAGATAACAACTTTCAGCCTAAAACCACCAAACCCTGGCTAGGAAGATGGGGGGAGGGGGAGGGTAGGGAGGGGATGTGTTTGACAGCTGGTGCCAGGAGGTCTGGTGAAGTATTTATTTATGTCCTTTAGAGCGAGTTTTGTTTTTTGCTTGAAAAATGTCACTGAACTAACCTGGGAGAATATAATTTACAAGAATTAAACATGCTATAGTTTGCACTAAACATAAAAAAATTGAAAATTTTGAGTTTGAAATTGGAAATTGTAACCTAACCCCTGGGGTAATCCGCATATAGTTGAAACCGCGTAAGAAAAGTACACATAAATTGCGAGTCTACTGTACACTAATTTAACTTAGAAATTAAGAAAATATAATAGAAAACTATAAAATAAGAAAAATGAAGAGCAAAGGTGTGTGCGCGTGCGTGCGTGGAGGGGTGGGGGGGGGGAAGCATGTGAAGGCCACACAGTGAGCTGTATTGCGTGGCTGACTCAACCGCCTCCCTCCCTCCCATGTGATGTCATGGCAAACAAACACACACACACACACACACACACACGTCTCAGTCAGTTCATTGACTGAATGGCTGAACTGTGGCATCACTTAGATGATGGTTAAGTGTGGAAGGAGCTATTTTTTTTACATAAAATATAGTGCTATTGTATTTTATGAAATCTTATGTATCAATTTTATTGTTTATCACAAAAAATTTTTTTTAACAAACGGTAATAGCGATACAGGTGTCGGACACACGAATAAATGACTTCATTTGCTTTCAGATTGTTGGACTAAATTAGAATTTTTACCCGAGGAGACAAAATTGGGATACCTGGAAGATTCAAATACTGTAGTTGGAATTTAGATTAAATGAATTGCACTGTAAACTAAATCAAATCTACGACATTGGATTTACCATAATAGTGGAGACGTTCTGCATACAGTGGCTGGCCTGATATGAATGGGGAAGGTTGTTGGGGCACTGGGTTCATAAAGCATGAATCAAATTTTACCAAGGAGTGCTGAATATTAATTCTGGTGCCCTGGATACCCTGTGGTACAATATATAGTACTTTATACCTAAATTATTGGAGTGCTACAGCACCCTCCCTTCCCATGTCCATGTACTTGGTGGAGTCAGCCAGCACACACCCAACCACAACGATAACATGACCACATAACAAAGATGCTCAGACTGCACAATTAAGTGCAATGCCAGGACCCATTTTGACTTTTGTTGTGGTCACATAAGCTTACAACTTATTGTGTGCACTAGAGGGTAAATACACTACGAGTACAGTTATGTATGTCAACCGAAAAGTTTAGTCCCGAAAAGCTGTCTTAAATTGATATTTACAAAAAGTGGATATTTTCACAAACATGTGTCTATGGAATGAATGTAATATACATAAAACATGTGTCAGTTTGGTTTTACAGTATGATTAAATTATGCAAATACCTATACTGTACACTAATTTTATTTCATTATTCTCCAAAACTCTCAATGTTATTAAGTCTACAAATAAACTTTCAGTGTGTCATCGTCATTCCCCTACAATCACTATATAACTTACTCCTCAAACTCATGTAAAGAAAAGTAAACTTGTCACACCACTAAACACAGTCACTGAGCCAGTTAGTTGCCTAACTGTCCAATCTCTATTCATTTACTCTCATGTTATGATGCAATATATATATATATATATATATATATATATATATATATATATATATATATATATATATATATATATATATAGTAATTAACCTGTTTGCTCAAAGTATGGTTGGACCAACTTAGACCAAAATAGAGGAAATTTTTTTAGTACATTCTGCAGTGAAATGTCAAATAGACTAAAAAAATTTACTTAGTTTCCAACAAAAGAGATAAATTCCTCACCGTTTGCTGTGTCAGATAATTCACTGTACTTCTCAATGACATATTGGGCCTGTAATGCATCCTGTGGATTTAACAATTAATTAATAATAGTAAAATAGTTTATCTATAAATGTATATCTTATGCCTTAATTCCTTAAAAAATACCCATGGGAGAGTGGCAACATGAATCTTGAGATTATAAAAGATTTCACTGCAAAGCTTGAAAAAATTGCTGAAGAATTCTACATACAGCATTGTATTACTTTGGGATCACCTGAAGAATCTCCACCCCAACTTATTTCACCTAACCATTAACCACCCTATCACTATTTGGAGGGGATGAGGTTAGGTTAGCATTAGGATGGTTAATCTTTAGGTGAAATAAACTGGGGTGGAGATTCCTTCATTCCATGGACCATATTATAATAACTATACAGGTGCTTCTCTACTTACAAAATTTCAGAGATACGATTATCCTCAATGAAGGGGGTTACCTGCCAGAGCAGGTGTTTAATGTGGATTACATATATTGCCTAAGAAAAGAGTATGTCAGGTTTTAAGGCTGTACTGTACATCCTTTTTTTTTTTTTTTTTTTTACAATATGTTCGTATCTACAGGAGTAAAGGTGGATGTACGAACAAGCCTCAGGAACATAACTCATTCATACGTAGAGGAGCACCTGTACATACTTTCTTATCATTAGACTGAGCTAACTTGTCTGTTGAATCACAGTGTCAGTTTGAAAAACGAGTGAAAAATTTCACAGAGGACTTAAAACATTACCAACAATTCTCTTCCATACGTATGAAATAAAAATTGTTCATCGAAAGTCTGATTGCAAACATGATTAAAAATCTACATGTTAGCAGAGGACTGTCTCCAAGGAAATAAAAGGTTTTTCTGATGTTAATTTCCTCATCGTCATCATGGGAATTACACCAACAGTGACACTGAAAAGATGCCTTAACTGTGGTAGATGAATTTAGAAATATAAAATATATGTTAAACAAAACTGGCAATGAAAAAGCTACGGTTACAAATAATAATAAATCAATAATTGGAGACAAAGCAAACTAGGAAAATGGAAAAAAAAAAGAGTTAAGAGTAGAATGAACTAGAAACCTGCAATAAATAACTGTGCCAGCCCTTGTGCAACGAAAAAATAAATATACAAACTTTCAAAATACAGTTAAGTCAAGAATGAGACCAGTAGAAACAGGGGACCGAGCCACAACACCCCATTTGAAGAGTGAGGATGATACGAATTACTCATGATTTATGGCACTTGGTAATCCTTTGTGACACAGCTGCTTGGTATGTCTGGATATAGCAGTGATGTGCTATCAAAACAGTTACATTTCCAGCCAAGACCAGATTTATCAATTCATAAAGGAAAGGGTCCTTCCAAAATATGTTTGTATAATTTATGTTAGAAAATAAGGTGATGTTTGTTATACCACCAGGTAATAATAATAATAATAGCTGCTCTTTTGTTTCTCAAAAGCACCAGTTCTTCGAAAGAATTCACTTGCGATCAGAATACTGAAAAGTCAAGGACGTGAAAAAAATAAATAAAATAAATAAAAATAATAATAATAATAATAATGTGAGTTTGTATATCTGTAAGTTGTAACACTTCCTAAACCCCCTAATTCTCCATCAAGATCATAAGGTTTCAAAAAAAAGAAAGACCTTAAATTATTTCTTGAAGGCCTCCACAGAAGTCATCTGCTTCATAGATGCAGGCAACCAATTGTACAATCTGGGTGATGTATAGGAAAGGATCAGGCAGCAAAAGAACATTCCCGTACTGCTCTAGTCTCCTCGAGGCGTGAGGGATCATCACTACTATGCAAAATCATTTCAGAACATGTAATCAGAGGATATAGTAGGTTGGTCACATACTTAGGTTCACCAAACATAAGTGTCTTAAAAATTTTTAGACAGAATTTGAACTCTATCTTAACTGTAATTGGAATCCAATGCAATTCGATCAAGAATGGGTAGTGAGAGTCCTCAGTGGGAGGAAAAAAATAAGCCTGGCAACCCTGTTCAACACCATTTGAACTTTCTTCAGTGGATGATTAGGAAGGCAGACCCATATAGAGTTATAATAATCAACCTGAGACAAAATAAGTGAATGTAATAGTGTCACAAGACACCGTCTATCCCAAAAATGTTTCAGTGCTTATAGATTTGGAATGAAAATTGCAACTCTTAACCAGTGACTCTATACAGTAAAGCCTCCGATAACAACGGTTCGACCAACAACTTTTCATATTTAAGACCCTAGTTAATTTAGGACCTAATTCAATTTAAGTCCTTATCCCATTCGTATTTACGACCAAAATATAATAAAAATAAAATAAAATTATATTTTCATATAAATAATAACATCTCGATATGCATCAAACAAAATAATTATAATAATTACTGTAAAAAAATGGAGAGCCTTGCACAAAGAAACTGCCTGGCTAATAAATAGTAATGCGCATCGCCAGTAAACAACAGTCGGAGCTTGGCGGTCCATTTGTTTTCACGTATCTGAACAGGAACAGGAGAATAACTTGCTCAGGTTTCTTACAGCATTTTTTGCATCCCTATTCAACATGAGCAAGAGAGCGAATGATGGTAGTGTTGTTTCAAAAGCTAATAGAAAGTGTATAAGCTTACCCGAGAAACTAGATGTGTTAAAACGATATGAAAAAGGCGAGAGGTCTGTGCACATTATATGGAGCAAGCAATGAACATATTTTCTGAAGTGGATCCATTAACAGAACAAAGCATTAAAATTTAAATAAATGCAAATGATCTCTCCATAAAGATGTTTAATGAGAAAAGAAATCAGCTGTGCAAGGTTCTTTCAACAGCTTATTATTCGAAGGCCTAAACCATCAACTTCACCTACACCATCAAATTCAGTATCAAAAGCAGCTTCAACATCAACTTCAGGTTCAGTAAGTTTCAGCAACAGCTTTATGGAAAGCTACAGCTTCAGCCAGAGTTACACATGATGACTTCGTTATCCGAGTAAAAACTCGCACAATATTCATTGGCTGTCCTTATGTTTTAGACTTTACCAACATTGGTGAGTAGAATTTTTGTTTTACACTCGTAAATATTATTTAAAACATATATGAACGGTGAATAAGTGTTGCTTTCATATTCAAATGTAGAGAAATGACGATAAGTTTTCACATGTACGCACTTACTGTACATACGTTGGCGTTCCCAATCATCTCGCTTTATTTCTTTACCATTAGTGGATAGCTACTTCTAGTGTTCCATTTATTAACATTAAATAACATTACTTAAAACATACATACAGATATTAAATTTTTTTTTAAATTAAGTTCACTACAGCTACAACCAGGGTTTTATTTTCTTCAGTTTCTTATGTAGAACCGTCGTCACTCACGAAACCAATGCCATCTTGTCTCCTCGTGTGTTTTAATATTCTACGTATTATGAATGAATTGCATTGTTCATTTCACATATATATACATTAATTCAATCAAATACATATTCAGTAATATACAATAATGAATTTTTTGTACATATTCTTAAGATAAATGACTATGTTTCCTTGAGTGCGCACGTATACATTGGCGTTCCACTATCAGTTTCACATTTTTCTTTAATATCAGTGGTTACTTCTACTGTACATTAAATAACATTAATTAAAACATACATATTTTTTACATTAATTTTACAACAAGAACCAGGGTCTTATTTTCTTCAGTTTCAGGTGAATAACTGACATTATGGGTGTAAACACTGACAAAAATGCCATCTCGTATCCTCTTGTGTGTTTTAATCTTCTACGTATTATTAATGAATTGTATTGCTCATTTCGCATAAATATACATTAATTCAATCAAATACATATTCAGCAATAAACAATAATGAATCTTTTGTACATACTGTAAAGTATTCTTAAAAAGATAAATGACCCAGTATCCCTAAATGCGCACGTATATGTTGGCGTTCCCAATGCATCTTTTTTTTCTTTGCCATTAGTGGTTAGCTACTTCTATTGTTCCATTTATTAACATTAAATAACATTACAGTGAGTTCTGCTATAACGCGTGTTTTGATAACGCGAATTTGCTCTAACGCGATTTATGAATTAGGAACAATATTTGTATAACGCGAACGCTTGTTTGCTATAACGCGATTTTTGCTTACTATTTCTCCAATTTTGTGGTATTAACTGTGAATATGGTAAAGAAGAATATCTCCAAAAAGCGTTCTGATGATAGAATTCCCGGTGATTATCGTAAAAGAAAGGATATAACACTTGAAGAGAAGCTCGATGTTATCAACCTCAAAATCACCCTTCTCCCCCATCAAGTTACATTCATAATTTTTCAAGGTAAAGTGTTACATTTACTGTATGATTTCATTATTAGATATGAATGTAACATTTATTTAGACTGTGCTATCCTTTGTGTTAGGCTAACTACTAAATTTTTTCGATTTCGAGTAATCTGCACCTAACCCTATTTTCTCCATAAGCCCTGTTATTTCTATTACGCGATTTTCTATAACACGATATTTTACAAGAACACAATTATCGCGTTATAGCAGAACTACCTGTACTTAAAGCATATATATTCATTTTTTTACATTAATTTTACTATAGCTACAACTAGGGTCTTATTTTCTTAATTTTCTCGTGTAGAACTATCGTCTCGGACTCCCAGCTGTAAACACAAACAAAAACAATGGCGTCCCATCTCCTCTTGTGTGACCATATTATTATTTATTTATATTGTATAAAGTGCATTCAGAAACATTATTTAAAGAATAGTTTGCAATTTTCATTAATTGTATTCTTTTGGGGGAAAAGAGGATAAAAAGCCACACAAAAGATATGAAAAGGTCACATTTGGGAACGCATCTTATTATTATCACTTTATTTTAATGGTAATTAATGATTCACGATACGATGATCCACCTTACACTGCAATATTGGAGGACACATTACCGTCGTTATTCAAGGCTTTACTGTATGTTCTTTAAATTTCAGTTTCGAGTCAAAGTACACTCCAAGATTACAAACAGAATCGACAGGAATGAGTTGTACTTTCCAAAAGTTTGAAGAACCAAAATCAACTGTGCTGTCACCTATCCTATTTCCTTGAATGACAATAATCTCAGTTTTGCCATCATTCAACATAAGTTTTCTCCTAGTTATCCAAATCGTAATATCAGACATCAAGAATTTCATTATCTCCTCAATATCCTCAACATTTATTATTATCACATAAAGATGTATCATCGGTTAAGAAATGGTAGGAAACAGCAGGGCATCCAGCAGAGATGCAAGACTACTGGTATAGACTGTACCGGTAAACAGAAGTGATCCCTTAACTGATCAACCATCACACATTGTGATAGCTCTGACAAATAAGACTCAAGTAGTGAGAGTGCATCATCATGGAAACAGAACAACCAAAGATAATGAAGCAACAGATGATGAGCCACAGTGTCAAAGGCTGCAGAGAGATCCAGTAAGACCAGGAGGAAGGACTTTCCTGAGCAAGTATTTATTACCAAATCATTATGAATATTACATAAGACAGTTTTAATTGAATGGTGCTTCCTATAGGCTGACTGGACTAGAGGGATCACTCCATTTCTCTCTAACAGAGGGAGTAACTGATCCAGCATAGTATGCTCTATGATTTCTAATAAGAATGAGAGAATAGACCGGATGATAATTTGACATACATTGTACTTTCAGTATCAAAACCAAGTTTCTTAAAAAGTTGACACAATAAAGCCTGTTTCTTGGATTGCCCAAAATTACCCTCTGCAAAGCATTTATTTATGATTCTACAAATAAAGTTAGCAGCATGTTCATAAGTGAGTGATACCTTAGATACATTTATAGGATCTAAAAGAACATCATGAAAAGTAATGAGAAGCCTCTTAGATGAGCAAATGACTGGAATATCTCCTCTTAGCAATGTGAAGTTTGTGGGAAGGCAAAAGAATGGTAGGAACATCCTGTGGCTCTGGTTAAACTTGAGTGAGTCTTCTACCTTAAGTGGTACCAACCATTCTGCTGGAGGACCCTTTTCTTTATAAATTGAAAGGGTTGGCTTTGACTGGAAGAGTAAACCTTTTGACAGCACATTGTTCTTGTATCCATATGTGACAAGGCACCTCCGCCATGAGGGAATAGTGAGTACTTGCCAAATTTGTAATCATATATGAATGATTTTTTGAAGTATTAGTGTAAGAATTAAAGAAAATGATTCATTAAAAAGTAAGTCATGAAACAAATATACATGTATTTGGGTTTTAGTGTTGTTAATAAAGATTCTTGGATAACAGACTATTGAACTAGTATAGATATGTGGAGCATATATTGTAAGAAAGGTTAGCAAAAAAATTTTACAGTAGGAAGGAAACTGCAAGAGATGGCTTAAGTTAGAAACAGAGTCATTAAGGACTAGGAATTTAACAATGTAGTGTGTCAAGGAAGAGACAGAAGACTATGCCCAGTAGAGAAGCCACAGGTATGAAAGTTTTAGTAAAGGTAGATATAAGTTCCACTGGCAAATGAGGATAGGAATCAAAGTGAATTGCAAGTAAAGTCTTAGGAGATGTAGAAATAATGAGTTGTTGATAAATGAATAGATCAGAATAATTAATTTTTTAGAAGTCTTGTTGCACCATTTTCATACCATTTAGACTGAAATTAAATAAAAAGCTGACAACATAAAAGATGACTTACAAATGTGGAAATGTATTGGATGGAGAATGGTAGAAGGGAAACTTTGAACTAGATGAACATTTATGGTACTTCATGAAGGACATAACTAAAGAGAGAACCGGGTAATAATGTGTTTGACAAAAACATCTGCCTGGATATGTGTGCAGTCCTAGACAGCATGACGTAAAGATCACAATGATGCATTAAGGTTATACAACACCTGATTTGGGAAGATAAACAGAAATGACTGTGAAGTATGATATTGCTAACATTACAGAAGAATAATAAACAGTTAAAACAAATACAGTAGTATTTTAAAATTGTTAAGTATTATTTAGTATTTATGAGAAAAACAACTCCTTACATTCTCAAGACTTTTAAGTCTTGCTTGCCTCCAGGCAGCTCTCTTCTCAGCTTCTGCTCTCCGCCTGTCTGCAGGAGAAAGTTGATCCTCCTCATTAACTTGACCTTCCCTAGACTGTGCTCTTCTTTCTGCCTTTGCTGTTCGAACTATGCCACTTTCATTATTTGATCTGTTAATAATGCATTAATGTTAAATAAAGCTTCATAAATTTATTTTCTTCTTCTAATTTTACATACGATAATTATACATACAAAATAATTATTAAAGCAAAGTCTGAAATTATCTTTCTAGAAAAGATTATCTATCTATCTATCTATCTATCTATCTATCTATCTATCTATCTATCTATCTATCTATCTATCTATCTATCTATCTATCTATCTATCTATCTATCTATCTATCTATCTATCTATCTATCTATCTATATATATATATATATATATATATATATATATATATATATATATGCTGATAACCACAAGAAAAGAAGAAAACACGAAGTTCCCGTCTCGAAAGACGACTTCATCGAACTCATCAAACTATGTATTAAGGATTGCAAATTCGAATTCAATGGGGAATATTATGCTCAAAAATTTGGTATGGCAATGGGTAATCCACTCTCACCTGTATTAAGCAACCTATATATGGAATTCTTTGAAAAGAAACTATTAAGTAATATTTTACCACCCTCAGCAGTCTGGTTTAGATATGTTGATGATGTATTATGTCTCTGGCCATGTAATGAGGACCTAAAAGCTTTCCTGCCACAACTTAACAACTTAGCCCCCTCGATCAAATTCACTGTGGAATTAGAGCAAGACTGTAAATTGCCATTCCTAGACTGTCTGATACACAGAATAGGTAACACTTTTAAGTTCAGTATTTATAGAAAACCAACTAATGTGTGTTCATACATTCATTATTATTCTGCTCACCATAATAAAGTCAAACAGTCAGTATTTTCAACAATGTTCTTACATGCCTTGAGAATTTGCAGTCCGGAATTCATCGATGAGGAATACAAATACAGTGGCCCCTCGGTTAACGAACTCAATCCGTTCCAGAAGGTCGTTCGTTAACCGAAACGTTCGTTAACCGAAACCATTGTTTCAATGGGTTTTTGGGTAATTGGTTCCAGCTCACCGAAAATTTCCTAAATTCAACAAAAATGGTAGAAAAGTTCACTTACTTTGAGGTGTGTATGTAGAAGGCTCCTGGATGATGATGATGATGATGGGATTTAGAATGGGGGTGGAGGAGAAGGAAGAAGAGAAGGCATTGGGGTGGAAGAGAAGTCACCCCATGGTGCCATTTCACCCATAAAATTTTAGCTCTCTGGTTTAATTCAAGATTATTTTCTTTAAATCAACGCTGCACTGCATTATATATTGTCAATATATAAAATATATTTCAAAATGACCAATAATTTGCTTGGAAACACAGAAAAAAAGCGTTTAGTTGAAGAGAGTCTCAAGCAAGATGTTACCTCCAGTGAAAACAGAGAGAGACTGACGCCTGTTTGCTGTGTTAAGAGGCTGGATGCCGCGCATTAAACTAGTCACTTTACCTTCAATTTTGTTCAATAATTGTTAAAATGACTAAAAAATTGAATATTAAACTTTTAAAATTATTGAATAGTATAAACTTCTTGATATTTACAAAAATAGTAAGGAATTTAAGCCCTAGAACCGATTAATGTATTGGCGGACTGATACTAAAGCTGGTTGCCCGGTCAGTGCAAGCGAAAACATGTTGAGGTCGGTTCGTAAGAAGTTCGTTAAGCGAATTTTTTTTCGTTAACCGAATTGAAGATCCTTATGGAAGGCAGTTCGTTAATCGAAATTACGTTAACCGAGGTGTTCGTTAAACGAGGGGTCACTGTATATATATAATATTGGCTCAAACCTTAAATACCCTAGATCTTTCATAGACAAATGCCTAAACATTACTAAGAAAACTTTTTATAGAACTGATCCCAAGCCCACCCATGACCATAAGAATATCTTAATATTACCATTTCACAAAAATTTCTCACACATTCCTTCACAACTAAAAACCTGGAACGTCAATGTGGCATTTAAAAACTCATGCACTGTTAAACAAATGTTAATCAAGAACTCCCCCAACAACACAATTGGTTGCATTTATAAAGTTCCTTGCAAGGAATGTAATATGTTTTACTTAGGCCAGACAGGTAAAGATCTTGCAACTAGAATTAAACAACACAAATACAGTGTTAGGACAGGCCAGGAATCCAATGCTCTGTTTGTTCATTTGAGGGATAACAAGCATTGCATTGACTGGGATAATGCCTCCTCAATATTACCATGTAATTCAATTGATAGTAGGAACATCATCGAATCTAGTCTTATTAAACACACCGAAGCATTCAACATGAATTTGAGTAACGGCATGTACAAGCTGGACAATTTTGTAATTAAGAAGATTTGTGACCAGGTGAGAAGGCCGGGTCACCTGACCATCTGACCTGACCACCAACCGTTGTGTGCTATTTAAAGATTAGTAGGGTCATTACCTAATACCTGACCATTGTGGACCTGGTCTCACCCTTCTCTGTATATATACACCTTGATTTGTATTTCTCTCTCTAGTCTGTACTCACCCCTGAAGATGTGAATTACACGAAAGCGCTTGGGAACTTCGTGTTTTCTTCTTTCCTTGTGGGTACCTTACTTGCATATATATATATATATATATATATATATATATATATATATATATATATATATATATATATATATATATATATATATATATATATATATATATATATACACAGTATATATATTTCATGTAAATCCACAATGAAAACGTGGAGAAGATACATCTTGATAAAATCACACGGGAAAAGGGAAACAATGGAGCACCTTAGCTTTCGTCTTTATTCAAGACATCTTCAGATGTCTGGATAGAGAGTGTGTGTGTGTTGAGGTCAGGATGTTATATTAAGGCTAAGATCAGGAAGTTTATCCACCTAAATGGTACAACAGTATGTCACCCCAGTTAAAGGTAGAAAGAGGTCAACTGCAAAAATGTTTCGTGAAAAAAAAAAAAGCCGTGAACTCTTTTATTCTTTCATATTCATGAGGTTGTAAAATAGCATGCTAATGTTGTGTTAGCTACACTGATTTCTGTGCATGTACTTTACTTTTCTCTGAGTGATTCATTATGCATTTTATGCAGGTAAAGTTTAATGTTGGTCGAGAATGAACAAATGTCAAGGTCACTACGGAAACACTTACAGCTACTAGTATTGAATGGTAGCTACAAAATTGTCAAAAGTGCAGAAGATATAATTTTTTCAGTTACCATATACCGTTCACCATCTTATTCCACCCACTAGCCTATAATCAATTTCAAAGGTCATTGAAAGTCATGTCATAGACTCAACAACTATTACCAAATAACAGATTTAATGGAATAACTTCATAAATAGTTTGAGGTTAAATGTGTAATGACAAGGCTAAATACAAGGGGTTTAAATTCAAATGGTAAGGTGGGCAAAGTTCTCATGTGTTTTTTATTTCCTTTTTAAGATTAAAAGTACAGGTAAGGAGCAGGTTTAGGATTTACTTATAACTATAATTATAAAATATAGTTCATAGTTTTGTGCATAAATTTTTTCCTCTATTTATTATCAGCCAAAGTAAGTGACCATAAGTAATTATCATTTAAGTTACAAAAACTCATTTACCTTATTGTGTTTTCTTTATCACTGTTGTCCACCAATCCCTCCATAATGTCATGGTCATTATATTTGCGGTGGTCAAAGTCACTGTTCACACCAAACTGCTGTGCCAAATCATCTGCCATTTCCTCCACATCTTCTAAACGGGAGAGGTTGGCCAGTTGTTCTGGTGTCATGTTTGCTACTCGTCGATCTAATTTATCAAAATAGTGTTATTAAAAAAAAAAAGAGGCAAAATTATTAAAAATCCACCCTGCCATTTCAATAAATTTTGTTTTTAATCTAATGATACAAAAGCAAAAAGAATAATAAATCACTATATTTAAACAAAAATGAAATTAATTCAGGCTAGTAATTATGTAAAACCAAATGCCAAAGTAACCATGGAAGCATAATGCTCATGCTGGCATCAGAAGCCAGACACCAGTCCAATCACACAAAGCATGACCTTCAAACAATTATAAACAACAATGATTTGTCTAGTCACACAAACAGCAACCTGACCTCACAACAATTGTGGCAACTCAGGACAATTATGTGACAACAGTGATCTGGTTATATACTCACCCAAAAATGACTGGCTTAAACACATATGACATCTGTGACCTGTTAAAACTCTCATGCAACAACTACTATACATCCATATCCTAAACTCCCCCTCATACTTTTCTAATTCTATTCTCCAACCTATACTGCCAGCCAACATATTTCTTCTCATGAAAATCATGAAGACATTACACAGCCATAGGACCATAATACTCCTCTGTCTTACCAACAAAGAATCACATTTTTCCTTCTCTGCTTGTTCTTAGTCTTTATTGCAAAATATAATACATACCTTATGTCAGCTCTTCCCTACTTAACTTTTAATGATCAAACACATGGCAGGCATTTTGTGTTAATTCTAAGAGGCAACTTTTACAGTTTTTGTCAATCATGTCTACATCTTTTGCTTTTCTTAAATGATCTTAAATATTATTCTCATGGAGTACTATGAAATATAGCATGCCCTTCAAATTCGCAGGGGTTAGGTTCTCAAAATGGCCGCGAATCGCCAAATCCGCGAATAAAATTTGCTGACTAGGGGAGGGGGCGGGGATACATTTTACGTGTGTACAAAGAAATGTATATTCCCTGTGTGTTTGCCCTAAAGATAATTATTTCTTTTACCTGTATTGTATTATTGTATATATGTATGTGTGTGTGTGTGTGTAGACACACACACACACACACACACACACACAAAACACATACAAATAAATAATAATGGAAAATCCTCTCACAAATAATCAGATACAAATGAATATTAAAAATGACAGTCTACCCTCAAGTCCACTCCGTGCTTTATCAATAACAAAGTCAGAGAGGACTTGAGGGTAGACTCAACATTTTTAATACATTTGCTTTGGGGTACTGGTGGTAGAGCGGTACCGCTCTTGCCTCGCAAGCGAGATGTCACGAGTTCGATTCCCGGGCTGGTGGAAAGTTGTTTGGACACACTTCCTAGCCCCCCCTTGGTCCCTGTTCACCTTGCAGTAAAGTAGGTACCTGTTGTAAATCGAAAAGTTGCGAATTCGCATTCAGGGAAAGTTGTTGGAGCTTCCAATAACTTACTGACAAAAACCTATAACTCTTCAGGCTTCTACGCCCTTGACAAAAAATCTATGACCCTTCAGGCTTCTACGCCCTTAACTCATGAGACATAAAGGCAAGCATGAACTTAGCATGCTTCCCAGATGGGCGCTGTTTAAGCGCTTCACCTTACACAGGATGTAGGCATTGTAGGGGGTGCCCAATAAACTAAAAAAGAAAAAAAAAAGAAAAATACATTGACTTCTGATTATTTGTGAGAGGATTTTCCCATTATTATTTATTTGTATGTGTTTTGTGTGTGTATGTGTCTACACACATACAGGTATCTGTATATACAATACAGTACAGGTAAAGGAAATCACTGTCTCTAGAACGAATGGCTCCTTGTCCTGGCTGCAAAAATGCCAGCAACTTTAAAACTACCCGCACACATTCTTGGATACATCCAGGGTGTCATCTGCAAATAATCGAGGTCTACAAATTAAAAATCTGCAAATTTGAAGGGCATGCTGTACACACAACTGAAACCTTTCTTAAATCTTCTCTCCCTACCTCTTACTAAGCCAATTGTAATATTTTCAAATGGGATATATTACTCAATCCTTTCTCTCAAGAATAGTTCAAGAGTACACAAAAGCACCCTTTTTGATGATGTCTTTCCTCAAACAGAGTAAAATAAAAAAAATTATCGAGTACAATTCATCTGCAAACCAAACGACCCACAGTATGTTCTCACAGAGCAATTAGTATAGTACATACTTAAAAATACATCTAAACATAAGAAATATATCAGCTTATTATTCAAATATTCATTCATACTTTTATATGCCATTATATAAAAAGAGAAAGATAGAAATACTACACATATTAAAGGAAAACATCCTATTGAACAAAGAGTTGTAGTGTAGTATAATTTGGCTATAATATTTCAAGGTATAGTACAGTACAATATCTATCAGGGCAATCACTTATATGTACAGTACAGGTACAGTATTTAATTTTTACTGCTCATGGCCTGAGACCCAAATCAAAGTTCTCATGGATCCATTTGCTGCAGACTTGCATACCTGCTGCCCTTACAGCACAGCCTCTGAATACTAAAAGGGCTCACTGAATAAAGTAATATGAAGGTATTTAAGGAATCATGGCAGAGGTAACTGGGAGTTTTGTGTACAAAGATTGGTCTTGTTCATCAGAATTTGAAAATGAGCAATATGTCCAATACCATTTGTCATGGGTGCTGCAAAATCAAGATCTTAAATTTATTTATTTTTTCTCCTTCCCTAACGATTTATGCTGTCTACTTGTGAAAAGAGAAATAAAGTTTAACCATCCCTTATCAAACTGTCTGTTTCCAATAGTACATCATTTTTGTTTACTCTTACAGGGTTTTTACCTCTACTGTATGCTACAGGATGGACCAAAACAGTATTAAAAACAGATTCTCCTTTACTCACAATTTGTTCTCTTTAACGACTGTGGTATCCCCATAAAATATTTGACACCCTATTTTCCTTTCATTCACATCCTCAACTGTACGCTGGATGTCAATACCTTTCACTTCTGGTACTTTCTGTACTATCTTTCCATCTCTTTCTTGATCTTCCCCTTTCCCCCCCAGTCATCTAACTCTGAAATACTATACACTATATCTACCAATCTGTCATTTCCTTGCACTCATAATGTCCAAGCAACCACAGTAAATAATTGTCAGCTCTCAGTTAAACAATTCTTTCACATCCACACATTCAATGTCTGTATTTATTATTCTTTTCAACCAAATTACTATAGATATGGTAGAGTCTCAATAATTTGTGGGTTAGGTACCAGAAGACATCGTGAATTATAAAATTGTGAAATATTGTTCAACTGATTTAAATGGAAATAAAGAGTTCTGTTCCAGAGGCCAAGATATACCTATAAAATGTTCCAAAATTGCCTTAATAAACACTAAACATCATACATAATATATAAGAAAATACAGTAACAAATATTGTACAAAAAAGTGGCTATACATTTCATGAACAGCTCCTTTCCTTCTTATAATCTGTGAGAGTTACGCCAACACACCAATATGGAGATGTCTCGGAGAGAATTTATTACGAATCCTTACGATATCAAATTCATCTCCCTATCACAATTAGCCACGCTTGAATGAGGAGGGATGGGAAGTGATCACACGATGCGCCCCTCACCCCCCAAAAAGGTTCGACTCCCACACTCTCAGCTCAACACACACACACCCATTCCCAAATTATGTAACTGTATATTTTCAGCCTTCCGGTTGCCATGCTCTTTCAATAAACAGTTAATTATTATTATTATTATTACCCTCAAATAACCACCCCCACACACACCCCCTCCAACAACAACCCACACACACACACACCCCCTCCCGACACACACACAACCCAACATCACACTCTCCCCACACACACACCCACATGCACTCCAACACCACTCACACACCCCTAACAAGGAAATTAAGACAGAAAACATGAGGAGTCAGGGTCTTATTGTGTGACTGCGTGGTAGCGAGTTAAATATCAGCTGTTGAGGAGCGCCTTGCAACACTCATTTCCACTCCATCTCTCTAATCACCCACACCTTTCTGCTTTCTCACTCCACATTTTAAAATGTTATGTAATGTAATGTTGAAGGGATACAACTTTGCTCATTTATACTTATACTTATCTCTCATACTAATCACAATCTCTCTAAAAATACTTTAGGCTTTCTGTTTATTCAAGACATCTTCAGGTCATAAGACCCACTAATCCCCCAGCCAAGAAAGGGTGACCTGCCATTCTATCAGAAGGTCAGTAATATGATACAACTAATCCCCCACCCTACCTCTACCCAACATTGAGTCAGGTCAGGTCAGGTCAGGTACACGAGACCCACTAATCCCCCACAGCTCCATGGGAGTGGAAAATACCAGTCTTTGCTGTAACACAAAGCCTCATTCATGCCCGTATCATATAGATTTTTTATTTTCAAATATATCTATTTAACCAAACTTTTAGATAACCAATTCTGGACTATTATACATAGTAAAGAAATGAGTTTCTGACTTAATTAGAACTGCATTTACAGACTCTGGTAGTTTAGACTCAAGGAAAACATCCCCAGCGCCCAGAAACATTCTGGGGAAGTGGGCTAGTGTTTGTGTGTGCAAGATGTCTAGCTTAGACACTCAAAAACTTTTCCCAGTAACCGGAAAAGATTCCAGGGATTAGGAATTTTTCCAGGTTTGAGAAAGTCGTCTGGTTAGCCGGAAATCTCTCATCCCCGGAAGTGCTCTGCACCAATTGTTCCGGCTAACGGGGATATCACTACTATGCAAACAAACACTGTGGCGGCAGTCAGCGCTCGGCAGCGAATTAAGAATAACTGACAGCAAAATTTAAAAAAGGGGTAATAATAGAGGTACCCACAAATTTAAAATAGTGAATTTGTAATTTATTGAGACTCCACTGTATTATCTTCAAGCACATTATTTCTGTTGCATCTAATATGATTGTTTCTTTTGCACCCAGAATCCTATCTTCTCTCTCATATAGTAATGCCATCAGTGTCATCATTGCTTTATAGCCATTTTCCATGCTTGTGTGAGTTAGGCACTGTTACCTAACGACAGCTCTCCATACTGTATGGTTTCTTGCAGTCTCTCTTGTCAGGCTCCTAACTTAAATGTCAATTCTTACAGCCTTTCCCCATGTCATTCTAGGCCTACCCTTGGCTTTCCTCCCCTCCACCTTTAGGCTCATGCACCTCTTGGCCCAATTGGTCTCATCCATTCTCTCGAAAAGTCCAAACCATCTCAGATTGCCTCTACGCAGGACTTCACCAATACTCTCAACACCCAGTTGCCCTCTTAACTCTGAACAGGGCCTCTTGTCTTTCAGTGTCACATTGCACATCCACCTCACTATTCTTATTTCAGTCTCACTCATGTCTACTGATGTCACTGCCATACAACATCACACTCCTCACACCAGTTGCATATATTCTTCCTTTCACTCAGAGGGAAGGTTCTCTTGCCATCAATATAGGCAGTAACTTCCTAAACTTCATCCAGCCACTTTTGACTCTTGCAACTGAGTAAGTATAAACAAAAATACCACAAACTCTACTCAGTGAATGCAACAGTACAAAGCAATCCATTATCAGCTATCAAAGAACTGGTAAAGCCAACCCCCTCAATATACCTAGGCTTTCATACATTGATTCAGAACACCAACCTTCATCTTCCTTCATCTTGGCGACTTCATCCTGGCTCAGGAAAGAGAACTTCCTGTTTTCTGTAACAAAGTCATGCAGAATCAACAATATACATTCATGCAACAACTATGAAAATAAATTCACAAAGCAGCAAGATGACGGTGAGTGGGGTACTGTTGTCATGGGCAATGATGATTGTTATTGTTCCCTAAGTATATATACAAGCTCACACTTAAATCACATAAATCATAATTACTTTTTCACATTCATAACAAAATTGCATTGCAAAAAAAAAAAAAAGAGGATAGATTCTAAAATTTTCTAGCTCGTTGTATAGCCAAGCTGCTCTCTCAAATGTGCTAGTTACTTGTTGGGGCATGACACATCACACCTTGCACCCAAAATAGCTAGGAGCTGGTTTTATGATCACCGATCCTTCCCTTTCACAGCCAATGCCTACAAAGAGGGAAATTACGAGCAAGTATTCCTTTTGAAGACTGGAAGTCTAATTAGAGTCCAGCTACCTAGTTAGAACCCAGTGGCAGATCTAGAAAATATTTGGGGGGTGGGAGGTCAATGGTCAGCGTAGTGAGCCCATACAGCTGGAGGGGTCTGGGGGGAGGGGGGGGAGAGGCCACTTTGGGGAATTTTTTTAAATTTGAGGGATATTTTAAGGCCATATGAACTGGATACACATGCCATTACATACCAAAGCATTCAACATGAATTTGAGTAATGGCATGTACAAACTGGACAATTTTGTAATTAAGAAGATTTGTAACCAGGTGAGAAGGTTGGGTCACCTTACCCTCTGACCTGACTACCGACCGTTGGGGTGCTATTTAAAGATTAGTAGGGTCATTACCTAATACCTGACCATTGTGGACCTGGTCTCACCCTCCTCTGTATATATACACCTTGTTTTGTACTTCTCTTTAGTCTGTACTCACTGCTGAAGATGTGAATTACACGAAAGCGCTTGGGAACTTCGTGTTTTCTTCTTTCCTTGTGGTTATCAGCACACACACATATATATATATATATATATATATATATATATATATATATATATATATATATATATATATATATATATATATATATATATATATATATATATAATATATATACACCTAGACCCCAACTTACGACTACGTGGACTTACGACCGTCGGACTTACGACCGCCTCGGATATAGATAAAAAAATTTTTTTTTTAAATGACACGCATTTTCTATACCGAAACGTTTCCAGTTAATGTAGTCTCCATGTATAATTAGAAAATTATGGGAGCCCCATGTGCATTCAGCTGACTACATTAAAGGTTAAGTGCTCAGTCACACTGTATCCATTCCTTATTATTTATTACTTTCACTGTACTGTATCCATCATCATCATTATTATATACTTTTACTGTATATTTATTGTAGATTTTTTTTTATCTATGTCGGACTTACGACCATGTCGGACTTACGACCTGGATTTGGGTCCCTAACCCCGTCGTAAGTCGGGGCCTAGGTGTATGCTGATATGTTATAATTCATATCATGGGTGTGCAGACAGTGTATATATATATATATATATATATATATATATATATATATATATATATATATATATATATATATATATATATATATATATATATATATATATATATATATATATATATATATCAGTCCATATACCATGCGGACTTCCATATACAAACAATACCTCACTTTTTTCTTTTCATTTTGAGTAACATTTCGTGTCTTACAGCCCCAACCAAACCCTATTGTCATTACCTGTATTTCTTTTGGTTAGAAATTTTCCGATTTAAGTGACAATCTTCCAGTCTCTATTAGGCTTGGATAATATGGACCTCCTGTATAATAACAAAGTAATTGGTGATTTTAAGTACTGTACTGTGGTGTAATAGAGAAAGTTCTGTACTGTGGTGTAATAGAGCAAGTACTGTACTGTGGTGTAATAGAGCAAGTACTGTACTGTTAATGACTTTTTGAAGAAAATTCTGCTTAATACCTGTGCACCACTAAATTAGGCACTTACATTGATCCTGACACACACCACATGCTTCTCTGAGGCACAACAGCCACACCACTGAGCTTACAAAATGTTTGCTCTGCTATGTTATTGTATTAATTTAATCAGAATCCCTACCCTGGTCTGTTGATGTTCTGAATGTACAGGAGTCTTGATTAGCACTGCACTACAGTACAGTACAGTATAATGTTTATGATAAAGGAACATCTTGGTGAGATGCATCAACTGTTTCATGACTGATATATGATAAATGAAACATAACAGATGAATCTAAATTACTATTAACATTATTTGCAAGTCATATCTGGTCATGCACAAAAAAAATAAATAATAAATAACACATATATTACTACCAAACTATAATACAACATTAATAATACTTTATAATTCATAGCACAAAAGAAACACATAATATCTACACATAATATATAAATAAATACATTAGTACAAACACATTTCTAAGCTTACCTTTGGGAGGCCCAGCCTTGTCCTTTTTCATTTCTTCTTCAAAGAACTTCATTCTGTCTTTTAATGTCATCTTTTTAGGACTGTCTTTTAGGGTTTCTTCAGTCTGCTGAGAGAAATTATGATTATGACTAATTTCCATACGGTAACTGTACTGTATTTACTGTGTACAGGTACCACAAAACTTGCAACTATTTGTGATTAAAAAACATTTCTAAACATTGACATAAAAGTGCTCCTAAATTTACAATGATAATCAAGAGAACCATTTACTAAACATCATTCATGATACTGTAATCATCACTGTTTAACAGCCATTTTCCACACATGTGTTGGCTACTGTATTTGAAACACATTTTTATTACTGATTTAATACTGACAATTTAAATAATTATAAATAGTGCAATGTTGGTGACCCCCAAAAAACATAGAAATCCTTGTTTATGTATTCTTCTGGTTAGCTTAACCTTTATGGAAATGAAACAGTGTATTCTAAGAAATAAAGTTGCCTGATTTTTTTTTACTGTGGGAAAGCAAAAGAAATTTTTCCTAAAGTTGACAGTAGACCAAAAATTAAGCCAATACCAGAGCACAACTTTGCGGCCTTCCTAAGTAAACGAAAAAAGGCATTTCGGATATTCTTATTTAATCTTCAAATTATTTTTGTTGTGTACTGTACAGTTGTTCACTACAATAAAATGCACATGAGAACTGGTTGTGCAGTTGTAGAGATAAGTTTCAGACAGTGACTTAAATAAAATTGGCAAAAAAGGGGGATCAAGGTAAAATTACCATATTTTACGACCAATGCTACAAAAATGAGTGATGCGTTAGAAAGTTCACTACCTACTAAGTGCCTCAAGGCAGATCCTGCCACTGCTTAGGAATCAAGTAATACCTGGCAACAGGGTGACACCATTCATACAGACAATGCTTTGCTGAAAGCTAGATGATTAGCAAGCTTCTTATCCAGTCAAATCCAGGTTCAGCAGTTGTTTCAAAGGCCAATGAGGTTTCAGGTCAGATATAATCAACTCTTGTGGGTTCATATTTCAAAACCTAGTTTTTTACTGATGGAAAGTCAAACCTAAACAATGTCAAACTCCTGCTAATTTAGAATCTCTCTCTTGGTAGGAAGGAAGGAAAGGAGGATTCAGTCACTTGTTTCATCCCCTCAACCATAATAAAGGATTTCATAATTTATTCCTCAATTTAAGGCCAATGGGTAATCTGTGAACCCTGGGGTGGATCCACAGAGGGGGTCCAGGGGGTCTGAACCCCCCCCCCCCCCTTTTCATAAGAAAATTCCAATACTTTTTCTTTAATGCAATATTGTACTCAGGCATTTTTGTTGAAAACCCCCAGCTGGGTGGGCTTGCTGTGCTCACCATGTTCCCCCCCCCCCCTGATACTCCTAGATCCGCCCCAAAACCACATTGGAAATGGGAGGAGGGGATGAAATGTGTCATGCAAATGTTCTGAATGCACCAAAGAGCAAATTGGTTAAGAAAGAAAGCCCCTCATTTATAAATCTCTTCATATTGATTCTGGCTGAGTATTAGGTGCACCTCATCCAATAAAGTGTTATTTAGTTGCTAATAAGGGAGCAAAATCTCTTAAATCATATACTCTATGCAGAGTAATTGAGACTTTCACCTAGTATCATGTAGATGTAACTTTTAAGAGCTTTACACCTTGTGATACTAATAAAATATAAGTTCCCTGTAGGTGTTTGGTAACATCTGTGTAATGTTAATACCCTGTATTCACATCACTGTACCAGCTAGACATCAAAATTCAAGCTTCATTTTTAGACATTTTTGAACCTGGGAATACCTTCTGCCAAGTTTTTGGAAACTAACCACCAAGAGTATATTGAGTACACTGTACTGTACTGTGTTTACCCCAACAATTGCAGCAACGGTTTAAGAAAAGAGGAAGACACATTCCCAACTTACTACATCTGCCCATACCATCAATTAAAAAGTGTCAAGGGTAGACAAGTTAAAGGCAGGAATTAGTGAAAGCTAAGGTTAGAAATGACTAATATTTTGTACCTTATACTGTATATAGTATTATAATCCCTGCAGCCTTAGTACTATACAAGAAGCTCACAAGGAATAACACTCACAACAGTTACTTCACACATAATGTACAGTATAATGTATAAATTACAGCACATTTTAAATTCCAAACAATCAGTAAATTATTTCAACAATATGTAATAAAGCTTTGCCTCTTTAGGTTGTGGGTGACCAACCCTAAGGCCAATTGACCTACCAGTATCTCTTCATGCCAATGCAACAAGCACCCACAGTTGACAAGGAACTGCCCAGGTGAAGACTGAAAGGCTCACTAACTACACTGATAGGTTGAAAGATGCAAATGGCAGAGAGGAAATTGCCCATAATTCCACATTGTCTGAGAAGTGAACATAGTTCTTCTCACCTGTACAGCATGCACACTAATCACTTCTACACATCATTAATTTTCCAGCTGTACAAAGACTATATGGCTCAATTAATTTTCTACTAAGTAATCTACTTTCCATGATATTTAGGGTATTTTCATGAAATTTCATACTTTCAAGTTTGCAAATACTGGACTGTATATCTTTGAAATTCCATGACTTTCCAGATATTTCATGGCCTGTAAGAACCACGAAGAATATATAAAAGAAAATACTATAATGCCAATCCTACCAAAATATTAAGGAAAAAACAAATTTCTTTTCATCAGGCATCAAGCAAATTAATACTGTACTAAACACTGCACAGCAACATCTCTGCATCTTTATTCTCAAACATTACATGACAAGCATGTTTCCTTTGCAATCTCAGCAAAAATTATATAGACAAGGACAATAACAAAGATGACAACCCCAGATATATCTGCCGATTACCCTAAATATACTTGATGCTAGTACAGGTTGTACCTCTCTAGTCCGGCATTCTGTGGTCCAGAAACTCCCGTGGTCCGGAACGATTTTAGTTTGTCCAATAGATAGATATTCAGCTTTTTTTTCTTTTTTTTTTTACTTATCTGATTTATTATTATTATTACAGGACTATTAAATTTTTGCTCCTCAGGCCTCAATGTGGGTCAGTGACCTATGCTCGGGTGGGCTATTCCCCGTAAAAAAAAAACAACAAAGCCGCGGGAAATTAAGGTTTGTTTACATCCGGCAGTTCGGCTGCTCTCTCTCTCTCTCTCTCTGCATGTCTATACAGAGTACAACATTTAACCCTTCAGTATATATGAGCAGTAAATAAGTGTTGCTTTCATATTCTTATGTAGAGTAATGACGATATGTTTTCACATGTGCGCACTTACATACGCGATCTCTCTCTTTTTCTTTACCATTATCGTTAGCTACTCCTGTTGTTCCATTTATTAACATTAAATAACATTACTTAAAACAACCATATTAATTTTACTACAGCTACAACCAAGGTCTTATTTTCTTCAGTTTTATATGTAGAACCAGTCAGTCACTGGTTTTGTAAACAACGAAAACAATGCTGTCTCGTCTCCTCGTGTGTTTTAATATTCTACGTATTATTAATTAACTGTATTGCTCATTTTGCACACAAACTTTAATTCAATCAAACAGACATTCAGTAATAAACAATAATGAATCCTTTGTACATAAGAGAAATGACGCTGTTTACACGTTTGTGCACGTCTGAACGTTGGTGAGCCGTTCAAACCCGTCGAAATTCGAATTTCCGCCGTCAAAATTTAAAATTTTTTTTTTTTTTGGCTGTTCCAATAAAAAACGTTGAATTAAAAACTCGCGAAATTTGAGAAGCTACTGTACGACACTTAACCCTTCAATGTGTCTTCAAAGAGACCATGAAGCAGAGAAAGTGGTGCTAGTGCTTCCAAGCGTAAGAACAAATCACTATCTATCCAGGAAAAGGGTGAATTTCCATGGTCCGGAAATTTCCATGGTCCGGCACCGGTCAGGTCCCGAGGTTGCCGGACTAGTGAGGTACAACCTGTACCTGTATATCTAGTGTTAAATACTAAAATTTCAAAGTTAAGATCAAAACCTTGCTCGATGAAACTTTATACTGTATAACAAAGGGATATACACTTTCTAAAACATGCAAAAGTGACATTAAATTGAGGTTATCTAGAGAAACACACCTTCAAAAGCAAATCAGTTTAACAACTTTTGTTGGCACAATATTACTGTAGTTCTTCAGTACTAACTTTAAGAAAGTACCAGTACATGTCTTCAATGAAAGGCAATAAATAGATATGCAATTTTTTAAAAAGACATGCAAAAACTATCTGTTTTACTGACATGCAAAATATTTTCTTCAGTATAATATAAACTTGGAAGCAGCAGGGCACCCACCATGCATAATGTCCCCTGCTCGTTCACATACCTTGACCCGACTGATTTTTTCGTTAGTGAGACCCAAACCAAATGCCCGTGATTCCACCAAATCCTCTGTTGAGCCTTCATGAACGTTGGTAGGGAGGGGTGTGGGGATGTGAGGTGAGGAGAAAGGGGGAACAGGTGATGCCGAGAGGCTCAGATCACCACCATTGGTACTGGCACGGCCTGAGGCGATGGGCTATGCATAGAGGATGTTATTGGTGTTAGTTATTGCAGGATGGACAATAGATGATTACTGTATTACCGACCATTAACCAAACCAAGACAAAGACAGAACACAATACGCTCATACATAAAAAATAAGAGTTGCAATGGTTGAGTTTCATTTATATACAACTGACTTTATAATGTACTGTAGGATTTCATCATCCAAGACCAGAGTTAATGACAGTTTCCCTTTCTTTTTAACATATTATACATTACTTACAAGCAGAACACTTAATTATATTGTATATAAAAAAATCATATACTAATCAGTGATGTTATAAATTATTATAATCATTAACTAACAAATGAAAAAAAGTTATAGCAGCTATTACATACGATGACAGATCATTAAATTATCAAACATACAAAATTTATTATCACAGACATTATAAACAATTCTGAATCATTCTGCATAAAATACATATCAGATGTACAGTACAACTCTACCATTTATCAGTCATTTTACATTCCCAAAAAGATGGGGTGGATGTATGCATTGAGCCTCATCTGAGCCTAGTTTAAAGGGAAAGGCAATAAAAAAAAACTAAATTCTATATTTCCATTCATCCAGCATGGTGAAACATTGAATGTTTAATATCTACTCTCTCTGATCATCAAGTTTAGTGGTTTATTAGACACGTCTTCATTCACTCTTCTTACACACGCACACAACTCTCCCAAATACAGTTGGGTCTCAGAGTAAGCAAAAATTACATTCCTGGGATCCCCATGCACATGCAAATTTGCAGATACATAGGTCCTTCTTGCATATATACACCTGACCCCTGCGCAACTTCACAGTTCAATTCGCCACTGCTTAGTAAATCCAATATCTTGACTTAGGCTTCAAAAGTTCTCAAAGTACAGTACGCACATTCTCACTCTCACCACCATGAGCATTGCCACTAAGTTTCCTCTTAGGGGCCATGATGTGGTAAAAATCACCAGTAAGGAAAACTTTACATGCGCGAACGCCTACGAGATGTTCACGGAATCAGGGTAAGAGAGAGATGGACGCCAGAGTTATGGTTATTTTCTTATTTTTAATTGCAGGTAGATATACATACAGTAATTTTCTTCATTTTTATTTTTATTTATTTTTTTACTATGTTACATGGAAAAACAATCTTTCATACAGAAAGTGAAAAAAGAAAAAAGATAAATAATTACTATATCTTAAGGTCAAAAGCTTAAAGGGAATAAACATTTCTTTGTGTGCCTGAGTTAGCACACAGAGTGGGGAGGGGGAGCAGCAAGGGGGATCTCAGCTGTCCACGGTCTCCGGTGTGTAGTGAAACGATTGCCAAATGGCAATGCAGTTTTTTTATTATTGGAGTAATATCTTTGTTAGCTGGAATCCCTGAAACCAGGAACTCTCTCCGATAGCCGGATTTGAAATTTTCCCGAAAAATCCCAAAGCTGGAATTTTCCAGAAAATCCTGGCTTTGGGAATGATTTTCTGAGGGGCACATTTTCCGGAAAATTATTAGAAAATTTTCCCGATACCCAGAAAATTCCGGAAAATTCCAGGGATTTTTTTTTCTGGGTTTGAGAAATGAACATCAAGCGCATGTTCTGAAAATTTCAAGAAAATTTTTCCGGTTTCCTCGAAAATTCCGAGGATGGGGGATATTGTTCGGCGTTCAAGAGAGTCATCTCGTTACCAGGAAATCTCTCATTCCCGAGAGTGCTCTGCACCAATTGTTCCGGCTAAAAGAGATATCACTATTATTTTTGTTCTATTCCTGACTCAAGAGACATGTGTGGCTGCTGTGTTGTGTATGCCATGATATCACACAGGGGAGGGATAGTGAAGCTGGCCACCTGGCACCTGGGTGGCAAGTTGGGAATGCAGTTACTACAGCTCACTGCCTCAACACATACATTCACTTCCCACACACCTATAAGCAGGGTCACATACTACATACTATGGATATGCATACTCTGCAACCCTATTATATTGTATTGTTACTGTTCATATCCCATGAAACTCCACTGACAACAATATCATAGATACATCCCATCTGTTACACTATCTACTTCTTCCCTCCCAAAGTAACAGTACAATGCCACTATGAATTGTTATAACATTCCACTCCCCATATGTCCACCTCACCGGACATCATTCTTATAGTGGTTATTTTAAATCCCCTGCTCTCCTTTCCCTCCTAAGATCCATTTATAAATCATAAACACATAATGTGTGATTATAACTGCAATAGAAAATTTTCCTTTCATACATAATTTTTTCCACAGTATTTTGATTCTAGTAGAACATTGTTATTAGTTTCCAGTTTTTCATCATATTTTCAGTGACTAATGCTACTACTCTTACAGGTATAAGGGAAGAGAATCTACTTCTGTTAACACTTGTCTATCTGGGTAAATAAGTTAGTCAGCCTGAAATATTTGTAACCTCTAATTACTTGCCAAATTTTTAAAGGCTTTCACTCTGCAACTCTGAACCAAGGTTTTGGTACAGCTGATCCTGAATTAAGCATTTCTTATTTTTATAAAGACATTACTAGGGTAATTAGAAAGAGCACATGTAATTTTTACATGCTGTACTATAATCGTTTCTAGTGATGAATTAATTGTATTCAAATCTTAAACTTTTAGCTTTTCTTCTTCAATTTCGCCCATTCAGTTATCAGTATTTAAACTTTCATTTGTCTTTTATAAAAAAATTAGACTTGACACTAGTGGTTGAGAATAATGTTAATGATTAATATCCCTTCTCTAAACAAGAACTGCACTGACAAAGAAAAGGACAACAAATGGCAGGAGGTCTTAATGAGCACATGATGTAAAACGAGCTAGTGTGCACCTCATTCTTTTATTTAGGTCAACAATACTAGTTTGCCAGACAGGAACTCTTTCAGTAACCAGTTGCTCTCAGTTCACTTCAGCTGCAAGCATGTAAAAGCTTTGTCTCTTAATTATTGGACTAGAGGTGTTTTGGTAAGGTAACACGGTTCCCAAAGATTGTACAGTATATAGTTCATTTAACTACTACTTTTCACACAAGAAGAAGTGTTTAATGTTTAAAAATTACCAAACTTGGATCCAACTGGTGTGTTAAGGTATCAGCTGATTTCATGAATGACTGATACTAGTGACTTTTGAGGATGTTCTTTTTTTCAGTTATTCCCTCTTTGTTTATGAGTCAGCTTGTGAGCTTAAAAATTCTGATACTGGATTAATCATCCTGAATAAACTGAACTTTCATGATAAAGGGTGAGCATTAGCAGTGTCCTTTTGATCCAATATGAGGCTGAAAGGAAGGGAAAGGATAGCCATATTATTTACTTTATGCGTACAAAACTGCACATTTTCTAATCCATACTCTGTGATCATGTCCGACAAGAACAGCGAGTTATGTAAGAAAGCTGTCTCTTCTCCAAGGACATAGCTCTTTTGAAAGAGGGCTTGGACACTAGGGTTTCTTAGGAAGCTGATGGATCTTCACATTGATCTCAGAGCTGTCAAACTTCTCAAACCTTTCACCTATTTGTGAGAATTCTCAGAAAGGGACAGATTCCAGGGGATAAGGCCTCTACATAAGAGACCATAGCTACCATAAGTGCAGGGATCTGCAAGGTTCATCAAGATTTTAGGAGAGGAGGGGGGATTTTCCTTCTTAGACTGGTGGGACCATTAGCAAGCTTGCACTTTGATTCATATCTGCAATACAGTATACCTATAGTAAATAGCTCTACCAGTGATGACTAGACTAACTAGTATACATAGGGAGGTCTAGTGAGGGCCATCCTCCATAGGTCCAGTATAGTACAAAAAGTAACCAGAAAACTTAAAGAAAATCTGTGTAAGGTTACACTGGACAAAGCCCTTCTCACACCCAACCCTAACAGGAATTGAACATGGATCACAGTAGCAGAAGGCACTGGGTCACATGAGAGGATGATGTCTGGTGCTTCCATAAATCAGCAGGAGTGGGAATTTCTCCAGTTAAGATTTTATTATGTCTCTCTCTCTTCTTTGGTTGATGTTCATCCATTCAAAGGTAATCCTTCTGAGGAAACAGGTGGTGTAGAGCTTATGGTTTCATAGGGAAGTATAGAGCAACTTGTGTTATAAGGGAGCAAGTTGAAACACAATCCCCTGGTGCTGACTTTCTTATAAGTTGTGTCCATGTGTAGGAAGCAAAACTCGCCTACATACACAGAAAACTATTTTGGAGAATATTTCCTTCACTATTTATAAGAAAAAAATATTCCTCATTTAGAAATTTAAACTTAATGGAGGCTTTAAAAACTGTAATGGATGAAACATACCTCAACACATTAAATCAAGCATACTGTTACAGATAGATTGGATAGGTGATGAATACTTGTAAATCTATTAATTATCTTTTTTGAGTTTTTTACTTGGAAGTTTTCCGTGAATTCTTCTCAAGCTACAAGTAAGAGAGGGTGGTTAATTTGATGTTTGTTTTTGTGGTTGTAGATTTTAGATTTACCAAGGAATTTTTCTTTGCTATATATACAGTACTTGGTTTGTACTTTTTGAGAAGCTCTCAGTTTTGATAAGATAGAAAATATGAAACTCTCAATAGAGGCAGTTTCACATGGGTTTTACAGTATACTGTATTGGCGATTTTACTCGATTTATTTATTGGGGGGTATTTATTTATTTATTTATTTATTTATTTATTTATTTATTTATTTTTTTTTTTTTTTTTTTGGGGAGGGGGGTGTTAGTTTCCAAAAGAATGGCAATGGACTGTCCATTAAGATTTCTCTCTTCAATAGTCCTTAAAGATCTTTTTCAGCCCTTAGTTTTGACAGACCTTTATAAAGTCTCTTCAACTTACTCAGTTTTAAGATGTTCAAGATTGAATTAGAAATCCCTAACCTGGAATGAGACCCAAATCTTCCATTAAACCAATTATATATACTTTCTATGTGGAAGTTGGAGGAGGTTTCTCATCATTACATGTGCCTAATTACG